AGACGCCGTCATTTTCAGGAGATCCGCGGGAGTCCTGAGAGAAGGCGGAGCGAACCTTCTGGAGTCTGGTTACCGGACGCAACAATTCCCACACTCACAGAAGGTCCAGCGAAGAAAGGCGGGTGGGCCTGGCCTCTACCGCGCCCGGAGGTGCTACAACTGTCTGCACAGAAAGCTCTCCTATAAAGCAGGCATTGTAAGCTGACCCATGAAGTGGAGCTACTGTCTCTCCCTTAGCCTTGAGATCATTTTAGTGACTGAGTTCAGAGGGAGAGTGTTGACCATGAACTTCCTAAGGTCCTGACAGGGATGGAACTCAAGAGTCAAGGCTTTGAGTGAAGTAGGGGAGTAAATACTAGTGGTTCAGCCAACTCCCCCTCAAGATATTGTCAAACTGCCCAAGAATGAGAGAAGAGAATACGCATGTTTATAGACCCGGTTTTGAGCTGTGTGGTAGATCTCGTTAGGCTTTATGAATGGCAGGAGGGTGAGGTAGGTGTGTGGGGATGTCATTCAACAGAGGCCAACTTCTCGGGGCGGCAGGGAGGCGCCGTGCGCGGCGCCCAAGACGCCGTCATTTTCGGGGAGATCCGCGGGAGTCCTGAGAGACAGCCGAGCGGACCTTCTGGAGTCTGGTTACCGGACGCAACAATTCCCACACTCGCAAAGAGTCCAGCGCGGAACGGCAGGTGGGCGTGGCCTCTACCGCGCCCGGAAGTGCCTGGACCTACCGGGGCCGGGGGTGTGGGCGGGCGGGGCCAATCGGGCGGCTGCGAGGCGCGGCGTCGGCGCGGGGACGGGGCGTCAGGCCCGGAGGGGACGCGGCGTAACCCTGACTGGCATCTGACGGACTGGCGTTGGCGGGCGGCCCCGGCCCCTCCCGCGTGAGCCGGACTCTTCTCTGGCCGCACCCTCCGCAGACCTGCCCGGAAGCCCGAGGAGGCTTGCGGGAAACGCTGGGTCACCGCCGCGTTCAAGAACGGTTAACACCCCGCTCAGGAAGGGTGGAAAAGAAACATGAGCGGCGGGGTCATCGTTGTCCCTTTTCCGACCTGAAAATAGAAACCCGGCGCCCAGGAGCGGGTCACCATGGGGCCAACACCCCTCAGGGCTTCAGTTTTGTCCTGGGCGCTCCATCTGTCAGGACTGCCTGGGCCCGTGGTCACTATTGGGCGTTAATCAGGCATAATTAGGGACAACACTTGAGAACCGTGGTTGAGCCTCTGCTCCTGAATCCCATCAAGGCCTGCTAGACTTCAAAACCACAAAGACTTGGCCTCTGCACTCACAGCCCCTAATGTAAATTACTCTCCCCCTGCTCGCTTGAAGGGATGCCCTGGAAGGAAATTATTAAAGAACACTGGGCCCTTAGGTACTGCGCCTCAACTCAATGGGATGGGCCCTTGCCCTTCAGCAACTAAATGTTTATGAAGAGAAAATGTACATGTATGAAAAAGGTAAGGACGAGAGTATATTAAGTGCCAAATTCCTGGAAGCAATGAATGCCATTATTGTTGGCTTGGGTAGGAGTTGGTAAGAGGGAGAAGTTTTGTGGTGAAACAGTCTCTCAGTGCTGGAAAATTAAGAAAGAGCAATATTTATTTGTAGAGTTGTGAGTAAACCTGTATGACTACAAAAGTGAAAAAAAAAAAGGGTAATGTGACTGGTATTAAAAGAAGAAACAAAAGGAGCTGACGTTTTCTTCCTATTAGTTGGCAAAGAATAAAAACGTCAGCCAATGTGAGTAAACACATTGGGGGCCAGGCCCCCTCCGACTTGGGATTTTTAACATAATTTCCATATATTAAAAGTTTTAAAAGTGACATGATTTTTAAATCACCAGTTCCATTTAGAGTTTATTCCAAAGAAATCATCAGAGCTGTGAGCAAAGATGTATAATTTAGGAAAAAATATAAACTCTTCAGTGTGTAGCAAAAATATAAGGAATTTTTGATAGATGGCTTTATGGGATGAAATTCTATGCAGCAAGAGGTGTAAAAAAAAAAATAGCAATGTGAGAAACTATGATATATTCGTAAGTGGGAAAAGCAGATTCCAAATCAGAATGTGCCTTTTAGCATTCCTTTTATTAAAAGTAGTTTATTGATACACACAAAAAGAGATCAGATGGAAATATACCAAAATTAAGTAATAGTTGATAGGATTATGGGTATTTCATTTGCTTTGTGCTCTTAAGTTTTCTATAGTGACAGTACATTACCTTTGGGATCAGGTAAAGAAAAAAAATTTTAAAATCTATCCTGTATATCAACTGCTTTTTTGTTCATAGAATGGCGAAGATAGAAGCTGTATTTCACAGGGTTCAGGTATGCGAGGATGGTGAGGAAATGGAAGCTCTCCTAATAAACCTCAAATGCGTCTTCTGTAATTATAAAATTTTATATATATATAAACAATTCTATATCTGTGATGTACTAAAGTCTTTCTGGGTTACAAAAACCATGGAATTTCCTCTTCCTCCCAGACCAATGCCGTGTTTGAATTGTTGGTAGAGCATATAGACACGAACTGTGGATGTGATGTATAAAATAAACACCTTAGTATCTTGGATTATAAAATCCAGACACGCCATGATGACACTTAATTGAAGGAGGTATAATTAAGGAGACAGCAAATAGGAAACTCAGTGAGGGGGAATTATTTCTGTTGATTCTTACAGTTGTAAAAGAGTGATAGAACAGAAAAGTTCTGGGGCTCAATGTTGGCACTTATTTGTGAAAACAGAGAATCTATTTATTGTTCTCTGCTACCAACGATCAACAATGTTATATGTCAATTATATCCCAATAAAGCTGAAAAAACCTTTCTCATCTATTTCTAGACTTGAAGTAAGTTTTATTTTTCTTATAAGAAAATTTACAAAATAGAGGAGAAATATGGCTAGTGTTTGATTTCCTAGTCACAAGTGCTAGATTAGATTCAAGGATTGGAGTTGGAAATGTTTATACCTGGTTCATCAAGCGATTCTGAATGTAATTGAAGACTTTCGCATTGATTTCTTTAACGATTTTGACTTGACCCAACTGAGGCTCCATTTGAAAGGTTCTGAGCCTTGTTCCTTATTTTTCTGGACAAGCTCCATGAGGCAGACATAGAGTTTTCTTACTGTATCTCCAGTGAGGAGACTCTTTTAGACCTGTAGTAGGTTCATATTAAATACCTATTGTTAAAAAGAAAACCAAAGGCCCAAAATGGTGTCACTCTTGCCAAAAGACCATGATACTGATACCGGCTTAAGACAAGGTTGACCTAAGGGAAGCCATATTGTAGAAAAGAAACCCCATTGTAACTTTGAATGACCTCTGACAAACTAACCCAGCTGGATATGCACCCTCCAGGAGATCTAACCGCCCTGTAGTTTATGACCCCTGGTTGTGCATGTACCTCCCAGCTGCCATAAGATGATAACTTTGTTCTTTTGAGTTCCTGAGGAATGTGATGACCCCCGAACAGAGAGTCTATGCTGATGGCCATCATCAATGAAAACTGAAAGATGTGGTGTGGTGAATCCCAGTCTGTAACACCAGAAGGTCAACATTCCTAACCTCCTCCCCTATAACCCACCGGCCTATATAGCTGCTTTAAGAATTTGTGCCTCCTTAAGATGGTTCTTTTGGACATGAGTTGGCCATCTTCCCTCTTGCTAGCAAGCTATAATAAAAAAGTCCTTTTTCTCCTACCTCCTTGCCTCTTGACAATTGGCTTTTGTCTCGGGGGGAGCAGATCATGCCCTTGGTGCGGTAACAATACCAAATGTAGATTTAATGACTGATCTCACTGCAGTTTCACCTGCTCCCAGAAATGACATCTGAATCTACCAGTCTGGAATTTTCTGGTCAAATACCAGTAAAGTAATCCATCAAGTAGACCCTCTCCACCCCTCAGAGGAAGAAGAGACAATCTGCATGATAAAACCCTTGACAGTTCCCTTCCCCCCAAAAAGAAAATGTCCTTTCTTTTCTTTTGCCAGTAGCTCCTTTGCTCCACCCTTCTTCCTATAAAAACTTTCCATTTTGTACAACCCCTCAGAGCACCCTTCTACTTTCTGGATGGAATGCTGCTCGATTCATGAATCGTTTAATAAAGCCAATTAGATCTTCACATTTACTCAGTGGAATTTTGTTTTTTAACACTATGTATTAAATCCTGAGTGAAATAAATGGATGTTGCTGTCAAGTGCATTTAACATGTCTCTGACAATTCAACCCCAGCATAGATTTACCAAACGCTGGGAAAGTTCTGAGAGATTTTGATTTTAGTACTTTTAGACACTAGGAACAAAATGGGATTTGTCTCTGAAAGGAATGAGCTACAACTGTCTACACAGAAAGCTCTTCTAAACCAGGCATTGTAAGCTGACCTATGAAGTGGAGCTACTGTCTCTCCCTTAGCCTTGAGATCATTTTAGTGACTGAGTTCAGAGGGAGAGTGTACACCATGAACTTCCTAAGGTCCTGACATGAGTAGAACTCAAGAGTCAAGCCTGTGAGTGAAGTAGGGGAGTAAATACTAGTGGTTCAGCCAACTCCCCCCTCAAGATATTGTCAAACTGCCAAAGAGAGAATGAGGAGAGAAGAGAATACGCATGTTTATAGACCTGGTTTTAAGCTGTGTGGTAGATCTCCTTAGGCTTTATGAATGGCAGGAGGGTGAGGTAGGTGTGTGGGGATGTCATTCAACGGAGGCCAACTTCTTTCACATAAAACCTAATGTTAGATGATTCTTTGCCTCCTCAATTAGTATATTTACATTATGCTTTTCAGAGGTAGGGGTAGCAGAATGAATGGGCCTGTGAATGCTCTCAGAAAAGGCTTTCCACTGTCATGGTGAATTACGCATTAGGTATTTGTGAAAACCTGAAAGAGAATGGCTAAACAGAGGATAGTTAAGCCACTTTTTGATGTTGGCCCTGGGAGCCCTGCCATCTCTATTTACACCTGGTAAGCCCCTGACAGCCAATTGACCTTCATATTTAGCTGTTCCCAGTCAGTGCATTACTGTGGTATGCCACACCCTATGCAAGGATTCTGAAACCAATCAAGTACAGAAAGGAGGGCATTTCTCAGAAGGAACGCATATTCATTTTATTTCCTCTTAGCTCTTGAAGGCTTTAAAAAGTAAATAGACTACAAACCGTAGATTTGCATAGATAAAACCTTTTATTTCTTTCTCTTTATCATGGTGGAGACTGAAAGTTTCATTTAAATGTCATAGACTTAAACTAACTTACATTTCACCCTTAAGTGTACAAATAGGCAAACAAAACAAACAAAGTTAGAATGTTAGCACTAGGAATAGTTTTGGAGACCATTTGTCCAGCCCCTGCTTTTCAGATGAAAAATGTTAAGGCCAGAAATTAAGAGAATTGCTCAAATATGCAAGTTAAGTTAGGCAATATAGGATTTTACATCTAGTTAGATACTTCCCATAGATAATTGTAATAATAGAACAAAAAATCTCATGGATTTCTTGTAATTAAGAAGTCACAGGCATCAGATATTTGTTAATCATATTGATCAGTGACATACTCAATTCTGGAAAAAAAAAGCCAAGATTTTTTCTTGTGATGGAGAAATTTAATTCTAAGAAAGGCCAATTCCCAAGCATTTTTGGGATTAAAGAATTGCAATTTGGAGAGCACAGATTTAGGTAGAAACCCAAATAAGTGTCCTGATTACAGAAGAGGGGCTCAGGGTTTTTATGGGAAAAAGAAAGGAAGATGAGGTAAGCTGTATTAAAGAAGAGTTCACTGGTCCTGGATGAGATAAGGCCAGGTTTGTACTTCATAGATTGGCTTGAGATTCAGTCATCAGGCAAAGGGCTAGATCTGTACTTCATTGATTGGTTAGCCATTTGGTCATCAGCAAAGTCCAGTTTCATCAGTCCTTATGAACAGGATATTCTTGTGCTCACTGACTTCTTGGAATGTTGGTGGTTTGGTCCAGTTTAGAAGATAAAAGAAGTGCAAGGCAACTCATCTGAAATGGCTGCTCTGGCTCTTCTTCAATATGGCTCCCCTCATGGCACCTTTCACAGTTACTTTTTCAGAAATCCAGGAAATAAGTCGACTTTGCTTATGCTGTTTTTTTTCTATCTTGCGTGATTTTTCATTGAAATTCCAGTTGATATCCAGCTCACTCTATATTTATCAAGGTAAATATGACAGAATACACTCTAAAAGCAACTATTAAAACCCAGAATTACACAGAAGTTAGCAGTAGTCATGTACAAATCTATTGTTAAATATCTGGAAAAATTCTGATATTTTCTAGTGATCATTAGTGTGGCGCATAATATTGTACCAAATAAATTTTTAACCTGTAAAGATGCAGGCCCATTAAAGACTCCAGGACCACTTATTTAGAAAGTGTCAAGATATTTTTATTAATTTTATAAATTCTTAAAAGTCATGCTTTCTTAGTTAATTTGGTGTATTCTGAATCCATAGGAAAGTAGGCTAGTTACTTTATTATAAAAATTATTCTTTCATTTATATTTTAGTATGTTTTTTATACAGAGCATAGTACCAGTGTTTTTGAAATAGAGCTTAGGAAATATCCAAAGCTTAATTTTTTTCCAGATATTTCTCTTGACCCCTCTCCTCCGTAATCATTTAATGCCTTTTTAATAAACAGAAATTACTTTTCTCCTAGAGAAAGTGAAAACTGATATAGAATATATTTTACTCCAAAATATCTAATAAGATTGGATTCTGCCCTATAAAAGAAAAAGAGACTATTTAAGAAAGACAGACGTGTCTGTCCATAAAGAAACATCTATGAAGAAAGATTAGCAGAAAATGAATTAAAATATTAAAAATTGTTACCACTGGGTAGTGTAATTATATGTGACTTATTTGTTTTTCTTATCTTCTTCCTGCATTTTCCAAATTCTCCTTAATAAGGCCATTCCATATTATAAAGCTTTTAAAATAAGGGGAAAAAATTACAAACTTGTAAAAAGAAATCCTAGGCAACAGCTTCTGCCTTGAAGTAATGGAGAATATTTATATATCCTAAGCGCAATCTTTTCACCTGACTAGATGCTGTGTGCTTTCAGCACAAGGAAAGAGGGTGAGGGAGTGACAATATCCTAACAAGGATAAGGTAGCTTCTCCAGCTAGTGGGAGAGCTTCAGCATCTTCAAGTGCGCATATTTGCATCTCTGTGAAGTCACTTCAAAGATTTTATGAGTCTCAGATCTTCTGTTGAAATGAATTGGCTCCATTCCAACCACCATTTTTTTCTTTTCTTTTCCTTTTTTTTTTTTTTAACAGGAGACTTTATTTTTTTATTTTTATTTTTTTTGTGAGGAACATCAGCCCTATGCTAACATCTGCCCATCCTCCTCTTTTTTTTGCTTTTTTGCTGAGGAAGACTGGCCCTGGGCTAACATCTGTGCCCATCTTCCTCCACTTTACATGGGAAGTGGGGTGTCAAGCCACCACAGCGTGGCTTGACAAGTGGTGCCTTGGTGCACACCCAGGATCCGAATCAGCGAACCCCGGGCTGCCGCAGTGGAGCACGCACACGTAACCACTTGCGCCACTGGGCTGGCCCCGGCATTTTTTTTCTTTTCTTTTCTTTTTTTTCTTGATGAGGAAGATTTGCCATGAGCTAACATCTGTTGCCAATCTTCCTCTTTTTGCTTGAGGAGGATGTGCCCTGAGCTAACATCTGTGACAAATCTTCCTCTATTTTGTTTGTGGGTCACTGCGATAGCATGGCTGATAAATGGTGTAGGTCCGCGCCCGGGACCTGAACCTACTAACTTGGCCGCTGAAGCGGAGTGCTCAAACTTAACCACTATGCCACCAGGCCAGCCCCCGGCTAACATTTTAATTTGAGATGTTCTCCAGCCTTATATTACACTTTCGAGTAAGGACACTGAAATAACAGGACATTTTAATTTACATGACAGCATGGTTGACAACTGAACTACCTAGAATTTTATGCTGATAATCATGTTAGCATTACACATATATTACAAATTCAAAAGAAGTGTTTCTTTTTTTTTTTTTTATTTATTTTTCCCCCAAAGCCTCAGTCGATAGTTGTAGGTCATAGCTGCACATCCCTCCAGTTGCTGCATGTGGGACACGGCCTCAGCATGGCCGGAGAAGCAGTGTGTCGGTGGGCGCCCGGGATCCGAACCCGGGCTGCCAGCAGCGCAGCGCACACACCCAACCGCTAAGCCACGGGGCTGGCCCAAAAGAAGTGTTTCTTGATCCTTGTCGTAGTTGCTTTGTTAGGCACAAGAAATTATGGCATAAATTGAGACATCGATTATTTAAGAGAGAGATTGATGACTAACTTGACCTTTCCTCATTGCTTCTTTTGCCAAAGGAAAAGTGTTCTGAGAGTTGAGCAACCAAATAAAAAGAGCCTTGTTCCAGAAAACATACAAGTCCCTCATAACACAAAAAATATTTCCTTGAGTCTCTTTTCCGTACTATGGATGTGACAGGGGACCGTAAAGAAGAGCTGGTGGTTTGGAGGAGGGTCAGCTTCAGATAGCGTGTCCTCCTCCCCTAATCACAGTCAAGATGGAAAGAAGGATTGTACAGTCCAAGATATCCCAATGCTTCCTTGGCCATGCTGAAGCCTCTCTTCTCCCTTAAGGCCAGGAACTCTGTCCTTCCACCAATGGACAGACCCCTGCTGAGGCAATCAGCTCACCTGGCACCCCTAGTTGTCACTGCTACCTGATCCCTCATCATTGTTCCCTTTCTACCTCACAGGACCTCCCAACATTGTCTGTTATCTGCATCATCTTTGAACCCTCCCATGTCCTTCAGCACACGGCTGTGTCTTCAGAGTATGCTTCTTTACCTGTATCGCCCTCTCTTCCGCTGCACCTGGCCTGGGCACACAGGTCTTAAGCTTGGTACAGTCTCTAGCTCATTCCTTGTCTACCATATGTAGCCACAAATGCTTAATCTTGCTCCTGTGGAACAGGACAGTGTGGACAAAATTCCAGAAATTACAGAAAAATATAAGTGTGGACAAAATTCCAATCTTAAAAGAGAAATCTGAGACAAATTCCTTAAGAACTTCCTCCTTTTATTAAAAGGTGGTCAACGATGTACACCATTTGAGATGCACTTTGATGTTTCCAAAAATTTGAGGATAAATGAAATTTTGATAAATTCATTCTCAAATATTGAATATATGCTTCTCATTTGATTAAGTCTATACTCAGAAATTTTGGCAAATTTAGAAAGAGCCAGCCCTGATGGCCTAGTAGTTGAAGTTCGACGCTCTCACTGCTTTGGTGGCCCAGCTTTGGTTCCTGGTTGCAGTGCCACCACTCGCCTGTCAGAAGCCATGCTGTGGCAATGGCTCACATAGAAGAAGTAGAGGACTTGCACCTGGAATATACCACTATGGACTGGGGCTTTGGGGAAGAAAACAAAAGGAAGATTGGCAACAGATGTTAGCTCAGGGCAAATCTTTGCCAGCAAAATGATAAAAGTTACCTTCTCTCTGATGCCTTTAAAAATTTTTTTTAAGTGGTCCTTATTGTAAGTTAATTTTCATGGGAATGAAAACACGTAAGCACAATGTTTAGTGCATTATAAGTGACTAATTGACCTTTGAAGAATGAGTGAATGAGCAAGTGAATGAATGCAATAAAGTTAATAAGCAAAAAACAACACATGAAATGTTGACTATTATGGGCTGTGTTTAGATAGAGCTTTTAATGATGGGGGAAATGGTTGTCATTTGGTGACATAAAACCAGGATTTAATATTATACAGACAATATAATCTGAAGGTACAACCCTGCAAATGTCCAGTGATATGCAAAGAAGCTTAAGAATACAAAGCACTGGTGGAGGTTATGACAGGTAATTTTACTATTCTTTATATTTTTCTGTAATTTCTGTATTCTCAATAATGAGCACATATTACTCTTAAAAGAAATGGTTATTTAAAAAATGGGACAGACAGGAAGTGCTGTGAGTTCCACAGAGACGTCCCTTTGCACTGGAGTTCTTCGGGAGAGCTCCTGGGAGAGTGAATCTGAGCTGGGTTAATGCAACTTGCATGGGAAGAAAGGGGGCAAGGTGTTTTCAGCAGGTAACCTGGCAGGAATGAGGTGAAAGCCAGTGATATGGAAAATTTTTAGGTGAACTTTTGTAAAGACAACCATTGCCCTCACAGTCTGCTGTTGTTGTGTCTGGTTATATGTGGTGGCAGCACGGCCGGCTGTGAGTCAGTTTTGCACAGCTTTTCCATCGTAGTACCCCACTAGTAAAGGGAAGCGAATGCATCACCCCAGGAACCCTGGAGGTGGAATTTAAAGCATCCCTGAAAGCACAATATTCTGTCTGATTTTATGCTGAAATCTGCATTATTTGCCTTCTGCTCCCTTATCTATGTGTTTGTGTTAATATAGAAATAATGGTATTTTCCCTTCAAACTATTGGAATAATGTTAGAAAAAATGTTATCCTAGGAAGCCATGCCATTTTCACTCAAGACTTTTATATCTCCTTGGTAAACTAGCCACACATCCCCAGACATATGCAAGTGTCCCTTTGAGAAGGATCAAGCTAGATGATCATTAAACCTTCAAAAAGTAAATTACCAATTCTGAAATTTTAAAAAGCAATGCACGTTTCATTTGCTTTCATAAACAATCATGAAAAACAAGCTATTAGACAGAAGCAAAGTGACTAAAAGCCCGATAATAAACATAGAGCTTTGCAAATTCATTTCTTTTTAGGAGAGAATAGGACATAATCTGTCCTTTTGTTTGCTTGGAAAATTTTGAATTGCCTATATCTTGGTTAACTCTGCAATGCCTCTCCCATCCCCTTATCTTTTTCTGTGGCCACTGCCACTATACTCTGTTGAATTTCAGATTTCTGACATGTGTGTAGATATGAAATGCAACGTTAATGTTAATGCACATTGATATGGAAAAGAGGTAGGACAGAAAGAAAGGAAATTTACCAAAAAATATGGGGTTTTTTTTGATTCTGCTTTCTACAGGAGCGACCTAATCTCTTTCGAGGGCTTTTTGTGCTGTTGTTTCTGACAATTCCCTGAGGATCTTCTGGATGGGAATTTTAGGATTCCCGGGCATGGCCAGAGTCAGGAAGGCCCAGGTGATCTGCTCTGTATGATAAAGAAAAATGAAGTTCTGAATTTACAAGAAAACCCAGAGTGGAAGTGAGGTACCCTGAGAGTGCATTAAAGGTTTGAACAAAAGGGACAAGTGTCTAACGTGAGAGACGCCTGGAGAAAGGCTGGAACGCCAAGGCCTAAAGAGGGACCAGCAGTGAGAAGATCCTCACAGTGTGACAGGGTCAGCAAACTTTTCCTCTTAAGGGCCACATAGTAAGTACTTTGGTTTTGTGCACCATGCGGTGTCTGCATCTCTGTGGCGTCTGCTCGACTCAGCTGTTGTAGTGTGAAAGAGGCCACAGACTGTAGGTCAACGAATGGGTGTGGCTGTGTCCAGTAAAACTTTATTTTCCAGAACAGTTACTTTTCAGTTCAGTGATTTCTAATATTCAATTCTGTGTTGTGTGCCACTTGGGTTGAAGTATAATTTCCCTTTTCACCCCAAACCTTTAGCAAACAGCTAAACGTTTACTACACAACAGCTTGTGGTAAGGCTGCTGTGGATAGGTGGAATGAGGGGTAAGGAATGGGAACAAGTCCAAGTGGAGGAGGACAGAAAGGAGAAGCAGTCATAGGAGGCTGGGTGAGGTGGAGAATTCCGTGAAAGTGGGAAAGCAGGGGAGGAGGTAAAGCCCGAGTCTGCCCAGGGTCCCTAAGAGATGCTGCACATCTAAGGGGAGCTGGAGGCCTTGGAGGCACACCCACGTGGCAAATGCTTGGGTGCCACCAGAAAAAGAAAAGCTTGCTACTTCTCAAATGTTTGCAGCATAAATGCACAAAAATATAGGGAGGCTGTGAAAAAACAGTGGCTGTGCACAGCACTGACGGAGTCATCACCCCAAATCACTGGAAACAACATAATCCAAGAAAAAACAAGGCGTTTGCAGCTCCTGAAGTACTTTCTTACTTCTTTGGTATCAAGGATCTGACTAGTGCAATATCATAGTCAAATCCTGTTTCCATTTTTGATATTTCAGTTGTTGAAAACATTTTGAATTCAATATGTGTATTAGGTACCTGTCATTTTCCTGATTTGTTTGCAGAGTTTGAGGATGAACACAGCTGCCTTCTTGGGGATGTAAATGGATAATCACTTCTTTAGATTTTTCATCTCTATTATTGCTAATTGATAGAGGAAAAATATTGGAAAATATCTTAATTATATAAGTTTCAGTTTTGAAAGAAATTAGTAGCTTTCCTTTTGAAATTTAGGGCATAATTTGCCTCAATTTTCTGAAATTTTTGGGAGTATTTAAAAGGAAAGATATAATCAAATCCCACCTTTCAAGACTAAGTAAAAACTTAGATTAGAAAATAATACTAAATGCTAAATAATGCTATTCTATACATTGTGTCAGAAGACTCTAAATTGCTTATAGACAAGTGTCCGTGACTTAAAAGAACACATTTCACCATTTCCAAAAAAATTTTGATTAGTAAATATTGTTTACCACAAGACTGTGACATTTAAGCTTCACAATATAAGTAGCTTTGCACTGCAATCTTACACAAGGCTTCCTTTTCCGCTTGTAGTGAAGATATAAGTTCTGTTTTCTGCACAGTTAAAACCTACAGTTAGGAGAGCAGCAGTAGTTGTCATGAAGGTACATGAGAGCCGACAGTAAAAGGAAGTATTTAATTACTTTTAAATGTCAGTAATAATACTCACGTGTAAATAACAACAGCTAACATTTTCTGACATTCATCATAATTGAGGCACTGTGCGAGTGAGGTAGGAGCTATTATCCCTAATTTACAGGCAAGGAAAATGATGTTTAGAGAGGATCAGTATCTCGCTCAGGGTCTCAGAACTAGTGAGTGAGTGTGAACACAGGTCTTCTTGATTGCAAAGCCCATGGTCTTACCTGGTCTGCTACTCTGCCTCTGTGGGTGTTATTTAATAAGCACTTCATTTTACATAAATAAAATGATAAACAATACAATACAAATACATTTAGATTTCAGGTATGCGTTGGCTTTAGGGATTTAAGAATGGAAACACAAAGAGCTAACTCACTCCACCACTTGCCAGTACCTCGTCATTACTCGGTCACTCTACCCACCAGGGACATTAGAAGGACAGCACCACTTGAGACAGAGGAAGACTGTGAGTCAGGAGCCAGTGTTCACAGCATGAGGAAGTGCAAACTTGAGATCCACGCATGAGGCAGAGTACAGGGTTGTGCAGCCAGGTGGCATGGGCTTCCAAGGAACAGTGACTAAGTGGTTCCAAGAGGAATGTCTTGAAAGCGGCCGTGGATGATGAGTGGTACAAGGGGTGTGAGAATACCACCCTAATGAGTGGATGCTGAAGAAATGGCTATCCGGTTGGTTAATGGTGGTTAGTGTGGACACAGGCTAATGCAGGGAGGCTTTACAGAGAGTAGATGTAATAGTGTTGTCACTCCAAGCATCATACCAGTGACGTCTTTCAAGTTTTATCTATGAACAAGAAGGCTGTTTTGTATAGAAATGGGAATGGATGAGAGGCAGGAACAAGAGGCAAGGATAAATGGGCTCTGAATGGAGGAGGCCAACGGTATTATTCCTCAGTGATCAGTGCAGACTTATCTTGTTTAACATTTGTCATGAGTTATTGATGTAGTAAATACACAGTGAAATATCAAATGTGCAGATAACCTAACAGCATTTTTCCTTATTAATCTTCTGTTTGGATGATCTATCCATTGATGTCAGTGGAGTGTTAAAACCCCCTACTATTATTGTGTTACTGTCAATTTCTACTTTTGTGTTTCTTAATAATTGCTTTATATATGTAGGTGCTCCTATGTTGGGTACATAGATATTTACAAGTGTTATGTCCTCTTGTTGGGTTGTTCCCTTTATCATTATATAGTGCTCTTCTTTGTCTCTTGTTACAGTTTTTGTTTCAAAGTCTATATTGTCTGCTATAAGTATTGCTACCCCAGCTTTCTTTTCATTTCCATTTGCAAGGAGTGTCTTCATCCCTTTGCTTTCAGTTTGTGAGTGTCTTTAGGTCTGGTGTGTCTCTTGTATGCAGCATATATATGGGTCTTGTTTTTTTATCCATTCAGCCATCCTATGTCTTTTGATTTGAGCATTTAGTCCATTCACACTTAAAGTGGCTATTGAGAAGCATGTACTTATTGCCACTTTGTTACTTTTTTTATGGTTGTTTTAGTAGTTCTTCTCTGTTGCTTCTTCTCTTGCTCTCCTCCCTTGTGATTTGAGGGCTTTCTTTAGTATTATGTTTGGGTTTCTTTCTCATTATTTTTTGTGTATTTCTTATAAGTTTCTGGTTTGTGATTACCGTGATGTTCATATATAATAACCTACGTAAACGGCAATCTATGTTAAGTTGATGGTCTCTTAAGTTTGACCACTTACTAAAGTCCCACACTTTTACTCCCCTCCCCCAACATTTTTTATTTTTGATATCATATTTTACCTCTTTTGTGTGTGTGTGTGTATCCCCTATCCTCTTAACATGGAGATAGACATTTTTAGTACTTTTGTCTTTTGACTTTCATACTAGTTTTATAAGTTGTTGATCCACTGCCTTTACTGTATATTTGCCTTTACCAGTGATTTTTTTTCTTTGATAATTTTCTTATTCCTATTATTCTTTTCTTTTCCACTTACATATGTCCCTTTAACATTTCTTGTATGGCCAGTTTAGTGGTGATACACTCCTCTAGTTTTTGCTTGTCTGTAAAACTCTTTATTTCTTCTTCCTTTCTGAATGGTAACCTTGCCGGTAGAGTACTCTTGGCTGTAGGTTTTTTCCTTTCAGCACTTTGAATATATCATTGCCACTCCCTTCTAGCCTGTAAGGTTTCTGCTGAGAAGTCAGCTGATAGCCTTATGGGGTTTCCTTTGTATGTAACTTGTCTTTCTCTGGCGGCTTTATGATTCTCTCTTTACCTTTAATTCTTGACATTTTAATTATAACGTGTCTTTGTGTGGGCCTCTTTGGGTTCATCTTATTTGGAGCTCTTTGTGCTTCCTGTACCTGGTCTTCTGTTTCATTCCTTAGATTAGAGAAGGTTTCAGCTGTTATTTCTTCAAACGGGTTCTCTGCCCTTTTGTCTCTCTCTGCTCCTTCTGGGACAGCTATAATATGGATGTTAGTGCGCTTGATGTTGTCCCAGTAGTTGGATAGACTTAATTCTTTTTTCTTTTTCCTGTTCAGCTTAGTTGATTTCCTCTACTCTTTCATCTACTTTGCTGATCCATTCTTCTGTGTCATTTACTCTGCTGTTGATTCCCTCTAGTGAATTTTTCATTTCCATTATTGTATCCTTCAATTCTGATTGGTTCTTTTTTATACTTTCCAATTCTTTACTGAAGTTCTCACTGTGTTCATCCATTCCTCTCCCAAGATCACTGAGCATCCTAATGTCTATTTGTACTCTTTATCAGGTAGACTGTTTATCTCTGTTTTGTTTAGTTCTTTTTCTGAGGATTTGTCTTATTCCCTTATTTGGAATATATTCATTTGTCTCCTCATTTTTCCAACTTCTCTGTGCTTATATCTTTGTATTAGGTAGATTAGCTATGTCTCTCAATCTTGGAAATGTGGCCTCATGTAAGAGATGCCATATGGTGCCCAGCAATGTGCTTCCCTCTTCTCACCTATTCCAAATGTTCGAGAAGTGTCCCCTGTATGGGCTACATGTGCCCTTCTGTTGTGGTGGGGTTGCTATTGCTGCAGGTGCATGGGTAGGCTAGGCTGGTCTTTGGGCCAGCTGGTTGTAAGGCTCCGCTGCATGACTCTGCTGTGGTCACTTTAGTCTCTTTTTTTATTTTGTGAGGAAGATCAGCCCTGAGCTAACATCCATGCCAATCTTCCTCTTTTTTTGTTTGAGGAAGATTAGCCCTGAGCTATCATCTGTGTCAATCTTCCTGTATTTTTTTTTTGTGTGTGAGGATGATCAGACCCTTGGCTAACATCTGCCAATCCTCCTCTTCCCCCCCCCACCCCCTGAGGAAGACTGGCCCTGGGCCAACATCAGTGCCCATCTTCCTCCCCTTCACATGGGACACCGCCACAGCATGGCTTGACAAGCGGTGTGTCGCTGTGCACCCAGGATCCAAACCGGCCAACCCTGGGCCGCCACAGTGGAGCACACGCACCCAACCACTTGTGTCACCAGGATGGCCCCCTCCTCTAATTTTTATATGTGGGTCACTGCCACAGCGTGGTTGATGAGTGGTGTAGGTCCGTGCCTAGGATCTGAATCCACGAACCCAGGCTGCCAAAGTGGAACAAACCACACTTAACCACTGCACCATGGGGCTGGCCCCTGTTTTTTTTTTTTCTTTTTAACAATATTTTATCATAAAAGTAATATAACTACAGCAGAAAACTTATAAAACAGAAGAAAAGAAAAATATCACCCATAATCCTACTACCCTGAAATGTTTTGGTACATTCCCTTTTGGTACATTTTCCCATGCATCTAAGTTTTTATATAGTTATACAATAAAAATGCAAATTATGACAGAGGCAAACTAATGTAAACTATTCTAGTGCATGTGTCATAGTGTAGTCCAAGATTTCTGTTGTATATTTAAGTTGTTTCCAGGTTTTTTTTAAATATTCTTCTTTTTTATTTTGAGGGAGGTTGGCCCTGTGCTACCATCTGTTGCCAATCTTCTTCTTTTTCTATTTTTTTTTTCTCCCAAAAGCCCCAGTACATAGTTGTGTATCATAGTTCTAGAGTTGTAGCTCTTCTATGTGGGATGCCGCCTCAGCATGACTTGATGAGCAGTAAGTAGGTCCGTGCCCAGGATCCAAACTGGGGAACCTGGGGCCACCAAAGCAGAACGCCTGAACTTAGCCTCTGTGCCACCAGGCCAGCCCATTTCTTTTTCTGTTTGTAATGAAACCCTTGATAAAAATCCATGAAATATTTTTCATATTTTACATTATTTCATGAGATTGGATTCCTGGAGGGCTAATTGGCATGCCTATTTGTATTACTCCTCACTTACATGGCATAATTTTTCTTCAAAGGGTTTTGGCCAATTATAATGGTACCTTCAACATATGAGGATATCAGTTCCATCACACATTGCTTTTTATTGGGTGTTCAAATAGGAACTTTTTATTGTTGTTAATTTAATGGGCAAAAAAAATGGTGCCTTGTTTTCTTTTCCATTTCTTCAGTTTTAGTGAGGTTAAACATTTCTAGACATTTATGTACAGGGTAAACCTATATTTACACCCTTTCTCCCAATCCT